TTGCTCACAAGGCAGTACCTGACTTGGATTTCCGATGATGTTTGAGCCGGATCTGGTTTGTCGTGTTTGGACAATTTCAGTGTGCCATCACCTGAAAAACTCAAACTGGTGTCCTTTTTCACGTTGTTCGAAAGCTCAACTCTCGAGAGATGCATGCTGACCATTCCACATAAACCAGCCTGTCGCTCTCATAGCAATTGCAAAACTTGTCGACTAAGGTGTCACCTGGTTCATAGTGACCTCGGATCGAAAGGCCTTTCAATCGGTTTTGTTGTTCCCTAAGACGTTCGGCTCGTTCAGCAGGAGCTAATTTCCTCGTTGCAGTTTCATCGGTCTGTTCAACTTGGGATTTGATGTCTGCCGCAACGTTAGGCTAGACCAGAGACATACCCTGTGTCCGGAATCATGTGCAGCCATGGTGGCCATCGCATGTTTGGGCAAATGGCAAAGGCGTTTTCTTCAGCATAAATTCCTCGCCATTTATGCCGGCCAGGCAACTTAACTAGCCTTTTGAAGACAATACAGTCTAAGAAGGCTCTGCTCGCTATGTACTTAAGTGAGGGTGGTATAGCAAGTTCTGGCAGGGCTGCGCAATTCATAAAGGCCCTAACTCGAATCGTATGGAGTGTTTTCGGGAGACGAATTTCAACGAGGCTTGTACAGTGAACAAAGGTAAATTCTTGTATTTCCTCGATTTGTGTGTTCGAAAGGTCAACCTTCTTGAGCAGATGGCAGTTGTCACAAGCGTGTGCTCCGATGACTTTAAAACTCTGCGGTAACGCTAGTGTAGCTATTCCTGTTGAGCTGAGGCAACCTAGAGCCAACTCCCTGGCAGTGGGTGGCGACAGCTGGACTCTCGAGCAGGGTAAATTCGGCAAGGTTGATACAGCCTCTGAAGAGATAACGCCCAAACTTGGTGCAGCTGCTAAACCGATTGGCGATATCTTCAGTGGTATAGACCCACTGCAGTGAGCAGCACTCATCAAAGGCTTTATAGCCAAACTCTCGGCAACCAGGAGCAGTGACACTATTAAGCAGTTTACAGCTTCGAAATGCGTTGTCAGAGATGCTAACAACTGTGGACGGCAGCTTGACAATTGGGAGCTGACGGCATGAGTGCCACGCTTCTGGGCCAATAAGGCGAATACCTGACTCTACGCTAGCATGACGTAGGCGCGGCACTCCTGCGGAAGCCCCTTCTGGACAGCGCTTTCTGGGTTCATATTTTTTTTCCACGAGTACGGACGCCGTGTGGGCATGGTGCCCAGGTCATCGTTGAAGGAGGGAAAGTCAGTCGGATGGTGGAGAAAATAACAAGGACCACAAACAAAAAGCCAACAGAACACCAAAAAGGCCCACAGGCCGCATCTCCACCATCATGTAGTCTTTCCTCTGTGCTAGGTGAAACCGGTGAGACAAGAATGAGTGTCTAAGAGGGCCTGAATTAAATGGCGAAAAGCATTTCGGTGCAGGTCTGTGCTTAAGCAAAGTCGCAAAAAGGCTTCAAAGGGGACTTTACTTCAAAGCGTAAGTGACCAGCGGCCACACCACAGTGCGGCAAAATCAGGGTCACAACGCAAGTCACCACCCCAATATGGTGTATCGCAATGCTTCAAAGTCGATTACATCCCTGACTCATAGGGTGGCGTAGCTATGCAGCATGCCGTGGAAAAGACTTTCCTAGTGGCACAACCCGTTCAACCGGTTGCACTTACAAGTAAAGTGGCTTGCTACCAATCAAGAATCGTAAGCGGCGGCCTCAATCGACGAAAGCTTGCAGAAATAGCGCGAAGAGACCCCCCCCCCGGAGGGGAGGTCGGTTCAGCCCTTATTGGCGCCCCCAGGTACCAATGGCTAGCAGAGTGAGGTGTCTTCCATGTCAGCGAGGCACTGCACCATTGCAAAAGGTAGACGGCTTCATGCGCGGCCCGTGTGAGACGAGTGAAACAGGTGAAACATGGACAATCCTAGCATGGTATCTGTACTTCTTGATACAAAATTGGAAATGTCGGACTTCAACAAAGGGAACTAAGGTTCCCCCTGGGCATCCGCCATTCCCACTCTCTACCACCCGCCTGTTAGGAACGAAGAGCTAAGGCTCTCGCTCCTAGTGGCTCACTGCAGCTCGATTGGCGCGAAGAGCTTGTTTAGTGCTTGCATATCCTACTTGCCGTACTCTGCCGTTAGGCAGCTTGTTTCCCTTTCCAGTCACAGGCTTGCCTCACCAAGGCGCACGCCCCGACTCCTAACTAGTACTGACAGCATATCGCTTGCGGTAGCCAAGAAAAAGCCTTGTTTTCATCCGAGACCTGGGGCGTACCCCATGTCCGGGATCATGTGCAGCCAAGGTGGCCATCGCATAGCAGGACAAATGGCGAAAGCGTTCTCTTCTGCATAGACTCCTCGCCATTTATGCCTTCCTGGCATCTTGATAAGCCTCCTAAGGACAGTGCAATCTAGGAAGGCCCTACTTCCTATGTACCTCAGCGAGGGTGGAATGGCAAGCTCCACGAGAGCTGCACAGTTCATGAAGGCTTTGACTCGGATTGTATGGAGTGTCATCGGCAGGAGAACTTCTCTGAGGCTAGTGCAGTGCACAAAGGCGAATTCCGGAATTTCCTCAATTTGGGTGTTGCAAAGGTCTATACTCTTAAGCAGTCGACAACTGTCGCATGCATGCGCTCCGAGAATGGCAAAATGCATTGGGAGAGCAAGTGCAGTGATTCCTGTGGAGCTGAAACAGCCCGGCGTTAACTCCCCAACCCTAGCTTGCAATCCTGACTCTCGGGAATATGGAGACTCACTTAAGGTAACCTCCGCAAGATTGATACACCCCTGAAAAAGGTAGTGTCCTAACTTGGCTTCGCTATTGAACA